GAGCAACGTCAGATGTGCACGCTGTGGCCACACACCAGTATCACACCTGTTCAAAATCTGGGATCATAGCAAGTTCCATGGCTTATTAAAAGAATAAAATTACAGCAGCAATTTCTATTAGTTTACTTTTAATATTGGTGATTTGGCCAACATAAAATGGAAAAGACAATAATCTTGTTGTTCATGAGATGTGTAGAATGTTAAATGTGAGAGTCCTGCTTTGGTCTGGGTGAGGGTCCTGCTCTGGAAGATAGTTAGCAACACGTTGGCCATTAGTGTCAGAAGCATAATTATAAGGGGGGGGGGCACACTGGTAGGTGGGGTTTGGGGGTCCTCCCCCAGAACATTTTGAATAAAGTAGATGCCATTTCCTGCCTTCTGTTGTATTTTAATGGCTTTAACATCTAGTTTTACTTACACATATAACACTTGATTCAATAACTATTTTAGAGTTAATGGCACAACAAGAAGTAGCCTGACCAACAGCTCTCCTTGTGTGAATAGAGCACGCGTCGTTTCTCTCACGCATACTAGTCAAAGTCTAAGAAAGACAGTGTAGCCTAAGTTAAGTTTTAGGGGAAAATCACTAACCAATATGAAACGATAATAATAATCACTCCTTGTTACCAATGGCCTAGCATGAAGCAATATGATCATCATCCATTATGTTTATTAGTAGCTTAAAATACGTAATTAAAACTCCAGTAGTGAGCTAGGTCTACTGTAACCTTACCCAGTTGTAGGGCAAGAAACAAACATGTAGCATTAACACAGTATGAACAACATTCTGGGATTGTTTCTATAAGAACATTATCAAATATTTTACTTGAACGGTAAGATCGCTTCGCCCACCAGGAAATGTAACCCAGGGTGAGATAACCTCGGACAAACAAAGATAAGTTCAAGTTGTGTTTGTTTGTCATATGCAAGGTTAACACAGGGTTAACACTACGCCGGACTTATCTCAACTCCTCCTGGAATGTTTTGAAAACAACAAAAATGCTTTGACTATCTCCTCACTAGGGCATTAACAGAGTACTCGAGTAATCTACACATCGATTGCTAGGACATCTATCGAGGTTAAAAATTTAACATCGAGTAACCGTAGTGCCGTCATATTATGTGACCACCATATGACCGTAGGGGGGCGGGTGTTGCACTGTTGCAGGTCACAGAGTATGGTGTAACACCGGGTCCAATCCACCGAACCAGTTTAAGTTAAGTTTCGTTTTTGACGCCCACGTTTCTTCACGTTTGCAGTTTAATAATAATAAAAACTAATAGTTTAGTTTTTCCTGTGACTTATTTGCAGTATGATAAATGGTAGGAGCATAATATATGCTCCCAATGTTTTGTTGGTCTTTTTTTTTGTAAATAATTATCTTTTTTTTGCGGTTTTATTTATTTATTTATTTTTGTATCTTGAGATCTATGACGTCATCAAATACTCGAGTTCTACTCTGGTTTTATTATGTTAATGTCGAGTTTAAAATTTATATACTCGTTCAACCCCTACTCCTCACCCCTCCCTCCCCCAAGGCCGTGGGCATGTGACAGAGCCTCAACTGAGCTGAAGATGAACGTCACCTCTTATCTGGACAATGGCTGAGGGGGGGCTCTGGACTATGCTACGACTTTCCCTTAAAAATTCAATGTCTTCACCACCTATATGTTCATGTATAACGTCTGTTTATGTTGCTTTGCTGTGGTAGGTTTTTTGATGCCTCAAACCATGCCCTGTCTAGGACACGGCGTGAGAGATCTTTTTTATACCGTCTCTCCTCATGTTATATTTCCTTTTCTCATCTAAGCAAAATATTATTCTGAATAAGAATAAGAGGGCCGCGCTTTTTATAATAACAGCTTCGTGCACTCCGCCCATCTTTCGGACGACTATACGTACATATTCTCGTTGTATCTCGGTGCAATGCCAGTAAAGTGTATTCTGATTCTGAACAGTACAATGAAATGCTTAGAATGAGGAGAACTGATTTGACTCGCTAAAAAAAATTAAAGAACAAACCAACAAGAAATAATAAAAGAATGCTATAAGGGTACACAAGAAAACTACGAAAAAGTAATTATAATATTTACAATGTCCTTAAAGAAAAATATTGAACAACAACATGGTAGAATATAATGGTGCAGCAGGATGATTTTGAATTAATAAGTATTTCAAGGTGTCAGAGCCTGGTCCGCATCGCCGACAGTAAGTCGGGCTTGTTCCCGGTGAGAGTTGGACTCTGCCAAGGTTGCCCTTTGTCACCGATTCTGTTCATAACTTTTATGGACAGAATTTCTAGGTGCAGCCAAGGTGTTGAGAGGATCTGTTTTGGTGGCCTTAGGATTGCGTCTCTTGTTTTTTCAGATGATGTGGCTTATTGGCTTCATCAGGTCGTGATCTTCAGCTTTCGCAGGAGCAGTTTGCAGCCGAGTGTGACACAGCCGGGATGAAGATCAGTTCCTCCAAATTCGAGGCCATGGTCTTGAGCCGGAAAATGGTAGAGTGCCCTCTCCGGGTCAGGGAGGAGGTCCTGCCCCATGTGGAGGAGTTTAAGTATCTTGGGGTCTTGTTCACAAATGAGGGAAAAATGGAGCGTGAGATCGATAGGCGGATAGGTGCATCATCTGCAGTGAAGCGGGTGCTGTACAGGTCTGTCGTGGTGAAGAGAGAGCTGAGTCAAAAGGCGAAGTTCTCAATTTACTGGTCGATCTACGTTCCTACCCTCATCTATGGTCAAGAGCTTTGGGTTGTGACCGAAAGAACGAGATCTCTGATACAAGCGGCTGAAATGAGTTTTCTCCACAGGGTGTCTGGGTTCTCCCTTAGAGACAGGGTGAGAAGCTCGATCATCTGGGAGGGACTCAGAGTAGAGCCACTGCTTCTCGACATTGAGCGGAGCCAGTTGAGGTGGCTCGGACATCTGGTTAGGATGCCTCCTGGATGCTTCCCTGGCGAGGTGTTCTGGGCACGTCCCACCGAGATGAGACCCAGAGGAAGACCCAGGACACGCTGGAGGGACTATGTTTCTCAGCTGGCCTGGGAATGCCTTGGGATTCTCCAAGAGGTGTTGGACCAAGTGTCTGGGAAGAGGGAAGTCTGGGCCTCCCTACTTAGGCTGCTACCCCCGTGACCCGACCCCGTATAAG